ATATCAAAATAATGTTGACAAATTTCATCTCATCCTCCAACAAGCCTTACATCTCAACAACAGAATGTGCCACGGAAGCAGTCCTTCACTAAAAAATCCATGTGCTGACGCATGACATTAGCACTACAGACACGTGGGTGATAATCGGTGACGTAACCAGCATACAGAGTTTCACTGACTACGCTTCCATATAAATCGCTGGCCAGGTGTCGTTTCACGCAAACAAAAGGCTACATAATTCGTTATGAAAGAGTCCTCAAAGGTTTCCACGGCAACGCCACACGACGCGTCCCATAGCAGTTCAGAAATAGCCATTCGGAGTATAAACAGCCTACAATAACGTGTGAGAGTGTCGGCAGTAAGACGCGAGAGAAGTCCCAAATGCCTTCAGAGAGTAACCACCCTCAAGCACACTTCTACAAATCCTGACGTAAAACTGTTCAAACACTATTACGGCCTAACGAACCATCCGGCCTGGTCCTTCATCCAAGGAGTCTTGCCATTTGTCTTCAACAAGTATTTTAAAAATCCTGTCCACTCCGTGTTTCAAACCCAGGACTTCCACTGACCACTTCACCCGTTATTACCGGATAGATTATGTGTTTTACCACGCTGTATCAACAGCATTTGACGGCAGGGACTGTTGCACACATCCATAAATTCAGAGAACTTGGCAAGTGCGATTAAGCAGTCTTCGACAGGCAAAAGATTGTCAAGCGGCTGGGGGGAAGATCACAAATGCTCACAGTAAAAACATAACACAATATCACAAAAGGCCTAGAACCTGCAAGGATTCTTTGAAGACCTAGCAGACGCAATGGGAGGGAAACTGAAATCAGCAGAAAGAGAATCAGCGTGTGGACAGGAATCAACATAATAAAGTTGGCGTCTATGGCAAGAACTTTCTGGTTCTATAAAAGCTGTGAATTTAACAAGACACTGCACTGATGTGTTACATGTATGGGTGGCAGAATGACGCATACACACCGGGAGGACGGCGATATCGCTTTTAAAATTATCGATTCCTGCGACTGGCGACGTGTACAACTTTCCTGTCACATCGCCGGAAGATATCCTTTATCG